CTCCGGGACCAGCAAACCAGCACCTCTAGCAGGCAAAGGACCAGCACCACTCCCGGCTCCAGTGACGCCAAAATAAGAACCCCCAGCAGTAGGGCCCTGAGGTGCAGAAGTGCGACGCTGACGGCAACCCTACCAGTCGTGCAGCTGCTGGGAGGTGAGAGGCACACGTGGACGAAGACGGCTACTCCAAGGAGACTGCGTAACAGCAGTCTTAGAACCCTCAGGCGACTCACCTCCAGACCCAGCACCCCCAGGCTTCGCACACGAAGGCACAGTACCCCGAGACGCAGCACCCCCACGCTCAGGACCTCCAGGCTCCTCACGTGCAGGCTCAGCACCTCCAGGCTCCGCACCCTCGGGCTCCTCACGCTCAGCACCCCCAGACTCAGCACCCCCATGCTGCGCACCCCGAAGCTCCACACCACTCCAAGCAGAACTGGAGTCACCAGTGACCTCAACAGGCGCAGGGACGGGAGGGTCTACCTGAGAAACACCTGAAGGAGTAGGGCCTGGCGCAGGGAGGGGGTCTACCTGGGGAGGACCTGAGGCGAGAAAGAGCGGCGGGAAGGGGCGAGGAGCAGTGTGGTAGGGGAAGAGGCGGCAAAAGGGGACCGACTCGTCAAAGTTGACGTCCTGAGATGCAAAGATACGGCGCGAGGCGGGGTCGTAAAACTGCCAGCCAGGCGCGTCACGGACAAAACCGAGGAAGACGCAAGGAATGGCACGAGGGGAGAGTTTGTCCGCAGTGGTATCGCGGACAAAGGCACGGGCACCCCAGACCCGGAAACGCGACGCGTTGCCAACCTTCCTTGTCCACAGCAGTGTGGGCGAGGTCTCCGGCTAGGAGACACGGGGCCAGAGGTTGAGGTGATGCGCGGCGTACCGGACCGCAAACGACCACAGAAAATGGGGGGCAGCCGCATGGATCATGGAGGTACGACGACCTCCATGACCAAGCCAATACGACGCTCAGCAACCCCATTCTGCTACGGAGAGGCCGGAAGCGTGAAAGTCTGACGGATGCCGTGCTCCGAACAGAAGGCTACCAAGAGGTCCGACGAGAACTCACCACCTATGTCAGAGTGCAGACGTAGGACAGAAAAGTCCGACTGGACCCGCTCGCGGAGCTAGAGACGAGCAGCGCGGATCCAGGGGATCAAAACATCAGGGACATCCCCCTTGCGCTGCAAGGGGAAGACCGTGGTGTAACGCGTGTAGTCGTCGACAACCAGCAGGAAGTACCGCTCGTGGCCCTGTTCACGGACGCGGGCTGGGCCCCACACGTCCAGGTGGAGAGTCTGCAGGGGAGCCTCTATGGGAGGGAACGAGGAGGAGTGAGGAGCGGCGCGCTGCCGCCCCTCGATGCAAGGAATGCAGGGCGGCGCAGGCGAGGGAGGGAGGGCAGGCAGAGACCTGGGAAGACCAGAGACCAGGAAGCGAGAGTGCATGCTACGCACGGGTGCATGCTACACGCGAGGTAGGGAGGGGTGACCAAGGCGGTGGTGCCACAGGAGAGTGTCGTGCGACAGCCGGCGACACTCACACTGGGTAACTACCTAAGCAGACGCGTGTAACTGGGGAGACAAAGGGGCGGAGCGTGACGCAGTGGTGAGGGTGTACAGACTGGACCCTAGCGCATGAGTGAACGTGGCCAGGTGGCGGCTGGTCTCGGAGCACGTGCAAATCGCCACACGCTGCCGGCCAGAGGTGAAGGTGTCAACCCCCGGATCCTAGAGGACAGCGTTGCTCACCAAGTTCGTAGAGAACGAGGGGAGGTGGAGACCAGACAGCTCGCCAGACGGGACCGCCGGACACGGAAGCACGGTGGAAGACCGTGCAAGCACTAGGCCCCCAGAGGGGTCAGCCAGTTAGACAAGAACAGGTGCAGGAAGGGGAGTGACTCTGGTACTGTCACGAAAGAAACAGCGGGAAGCACCAGAGTCAAGTGTAAAAGTGTGCAAGGCCTGTGCAGGCGCAGTACCAGGGGGAGCAGACTCACAAGCACCAAGTGCTGCTATACAAGGGACTATACCAGGATTCGGCGGCACACACAAGTAGCAGTCACCCTCAGCACTAACAGACAATGCATACATAGCAGCAAGAATAGCCTCATAGTCAAGATCAAAGATAGGTACATCACGCCTAAGTAGCTCTGCCCAGTTGGGGAACTCAGGAGCATCAGGAAACTTGGCGCGCCAGGCGTCGCTAAGTCGAGCGAAGCAGCGCTGCTCAGTGTGATAACCTGTGCACTGGCGAGCAGTGCGGGGACCTGTGCGAATGATGTAGGGGCAGCGACCAGGACCCCCAGAAGCCCCACGCCCGGCATACCAGTCAAGAAGCTGCTGGGAAGTGGGGGTCTGGCGCTGACGCTGCTGCTGCTGCTGCGGCTGCTGCTGGCCCTGACCACCACTACCACCACTGCTCCCTCCTCCCCCACCGCTGTTGCTACCCCCTCCACCGCTCCCAGTGCCTCCATCGCCCCCACCACCACCTCCACCGCCTCCACCCCCACGACCACCCCCACCACCTCCACCTCCCCCGCCGCCTGCACTACTGCCACCTCCTCCGCCACCCCCACCGCCCCTGCCACCCCTGCCGCCCCGGCCGCTGCGACGCTTCCCACTAGGAGCGGAAGCAGCTCCGACCTCCTCAGCACCAAGGTAGTCATGAGCACCAGCTACGGAGGCGTAGGAGGGGGTGAGAGAGGAGGGGGAGCACCCCTCAAAGAGGGGAGAGCGAGGAGTGCCACGAGCAGCACCTACAGCGAGGATGTTCTTTTCTGCTGCAAGAAGGTGCTTCTCGAATTCGTCGACAATGGGAGTGGGGGGTCTAGCGCGAGGAAGTGGTCCCTGACTGAGCTAAGAGTATCAGGGAGGCGGGTGACGAGGAAATAGAGAGTGAAGTACATCGGGGGGGGGGGGGGGGGGTGGGAGGGGGGGGGGTTAGCGGCACAGAACTCGGCTGAAAGGGCGGCACGAAAGCGAGTGTCAGTAGCGCGTAGGTGGGAAATGAGGTCCTCAGCAGTGGTGAACGAGGAAAGGTCGGGGAACAGGTAGGGTAGCATGAGCCGACCTATGGCTGCAGTGGCCAGGGAGGAGTAGCGCGCAACTACAGCGTCGTACAGCTTCTTAGCAGTTTTGTGCTGGCTGAAATGCGGGCGTTCAGTAATCGGCAGATGGTTCCTAATAGCTAGGCGTACAGCAGCATCACGAGTTTGCCATTGCGAGCATTCGAGAGCAGGAGCATCGGCAGCAGGAGCAAGGGCAGTGTTAGACACGTAATCGAACAGTAAAACGCCCTCTTTGGCATCGGTCAGAAGGAACAGTTGGAGATCATCTAACCACACAGTGAACTCTATGGGGCGACCGTCAAGCTCAAACGCGAGAACGTTAGGCGTCGTCATAATGGCAGCAGGCAGAGGCAGGAGGCAGCAGACAAGAGGCAGCAGACACCAGGCCACAAGCAAAGACCGAGGTAGCAGGCAGCAGGCAGGAGACAGCAGGCAGCAGGCAGGAGACATCAGGCAGTAGGCAGCAAGCAGGAGCGACCGCACGCGAGCTCCTAAGGCAGCGCGCTAAGCAGCTGCGGGCCAGGCAGGCGGCCGACGCGACGCGCGGCACAGCGGCGGGCCGCGCTGGCGACAGACGCGGCGCGCGGGGCGACGGCGAGCTGCACGCGACGGCGGGCTGCGTGCGGCGTCGGGCTGGGCGGGCTCTACGCGGGCTGCGCGGCCGACGTGGGCCGGCGCGCGGCGCTACAGCAGTGGCACGTGCTAAAAACAGTGGCGCGCGCGCTAGTAGGCGAGGCGCGCGCGAAAAAAAAGTGACGCGCGCTGCAGCCGAGGCGCGCGCGGCCAGTAGGCAAGGCAGGCAGTTAGGTGGGCCCGATTCTTAGGTCCTAGAGACCTCCTGCTCTAGTTACCATGTTAAGAACTACGGCAAGAGTGAGTGGATTAGGTAGGGATTAGGGTACCAGACTAGAGTGTCGAGGTTGTTCTTGCTTTGCTTTCCTTTGCTTGACTGGTCTTGTGACCCCTTGTTCTCCCCCACTTTGCCTATGGGGGTGTGTCAGAACATTATAACTTCTACTTTTTTGTAGGCTATAGTGGGGTATCCCATAGGGGGTACAACCAATTAGGGTTAGTACTTGTACCCGGTTCATTCATAGTTTATTCATTCTCGTTCTCACTTTCTCACCCTCTAAGGCTAACCCCACTTTAACCTACCCAATTATAATCATACAAGTATGTTTGACACGTTGGCAGCGTGAGTGCTGTCCTCTACGAGGAGATGCCTCGTAGAGGAGCGGCTCGGCACCTGTGGATGGGGCACTCTGGCTGGGGGGGGTAGTTGGGCTCTCACTTCATTTGGTGCTCAAGGAGGTTGACTACTCGTCTCAACCTTGCTCTCGGCAGGCTTTCTAACCATGCGCAGCAAAGTACCAGTAGGCAAGTCCTCACCTCGTCCTCACGTGCAGGTGAATAAGTACGGGCAAATTAACTCGCCCGGCGATGACATCCGTGTATCTATGGCGAAGAACACGAGCAAGGCAGGAAGTCCTACCGCCGCCTCCGGTGCGAGCTGTGACGGGGACGACGAATCGAAGCGACATGCAACGACGCCGAGGAGGATTGGCCGGAGAACGGCCACGACGATAGCGCTTTGGGCGACGAATTAGGTACTGCCGACATCGAGGAGGACGAATGGTGGAATCGGCCGGTTGGGAGCGACGACGAGGTGGAAGAATGGCGGGCTGGTGATTCGGACAACGACGGAGGTGAAAATGCTGATGGTGACAACGCGGAGGCATCGCCGGATGCACAGGAAGCGGCGGTGGATGCGAATGAGGAGGCTGACGACGAGGCGGGGGCGGAACTCGAGACAGTTGCGCCTGCGGATGCGGCCGCAATTGCGGATGCGGATGCTGTGGCGGAGTCGGACAAGGTTGCTGCGGATGCCGTCTTATTTGACGGTGAAGGCGGCAACGACGACCCATGGAGCATGCGGACCGATGACAACGTTCCGCTACTGAAGCGGAGGCTGCGCCATCACCTACAGTCCCAGTCGAAGCGGGCCCGCGTGGTGCTCTCTGACGACGACAGTACGGGGGAGGAGCGTCGCCCGATACTCACCGCTGCGGAGAAGGGAAAAGCCAAGGTCGCGGAAGCCCCTGCTAAGGCCCTTGCTCGTCGCCGCACAAGCAACAAGAAGCGGACATCCAACAGAGACCCGGGATCCAGCAAGGGTGCGGCTAAGAAGAAGGCGCCAAATCCTGACGACATCGTCGTGAACGAGACGCTGGGAAGCAATGATGAGTACGCGGCGGCGGCGGGCCTGATTCCCAGGTTCCCTGAGAAGGTCACGCCGAAGGACCCCACCCTCCATAATCCCAACACCCGCCCCCCTTCCCTTCGCAGCAAAGACAGTACAAAGAAGCGGTTGGACCATGCGTGAGAAGCTTAAGTGGGCGCGCCGCTATCAGGAGCTCGGCTCCTTGAAGAAGACGAGCGTGGAGTCAACCACGTCCATCGCCTGCACCAGACGCTGGTGTGCGGAGGCGGTTGCGGGCGTCTTCAAGGGCGCGTCTAACTGCTGCAAGCGGATGCACAGGGGGGGGCGCCACTAACACTACCCCGACATGGAGGCAGCGTTGTACCGCTACATCTGCCTTCAGCGCGCTAACGGGGTGGCCATCTCGGTGAAGGACACCTAGAAGTGGAGCCGCGAGTGGATGAAGAAGCATTACCCCGGCAATAACAGGAACGCGAGCTCTCACTGGAGCCAGCGTTTCCGATGTGGGTGAAGACCAAGGTCGGCCAACGTCTGTCGGCAGGTGCGTGTTGAAGGAATTCGTGTCGCACGCGGGCTATTAAATGCATGTACTTTTGAGAAAATATGAACGAGAATGAAGAAGGGAGGATTTGACTAGCAGCAGTTGGGATACATATAGCAAACCCTACCAGGGTTGTACTCGCTATAGAGCACCCCACTACATGCTAGATAAGAACATTCTGACACACCCCCATAGCCAAAGTGGGGTGTAATCAGCAGAGCAAGCAGGCATAGAACAAGCTCAGGGTGGATCACAATGTCACCACACATTCTGAGCACAAGTACAAGAAGCAACAGTTTAAAAGTTCACAATTATGAGCAAAGCTAGAGCTAATCACAGCGGACAAGTGAGGAGGAGGAGGAGCTGTGGGGGAGAGAAGATGGGAGGCGACTGCTGACGCCGCAGACAAACAGACGAGCTGCTGGCTCAGTGGCTACCGGAACAGCGCTCCGGACTACTGGAGTAACTGGCCCCGCGGCTAATAGTAGCGGCAGACGAGCAACGGACCCACGGGCGACTGGCGACTACCGGAGATTGTAGCCTCCGGACTGCTGCTGCTGCTGACGACAAGACTGCTGCCTCCACTCAACCTCCCCCAATTGCCCCACACTCTCGGCACACGCCCACTGCTCAAACCCTAGCTCCACTCACACGCACCCCCCTTAAACCCTAAACCTCAGTCCCCCACTCATCCACCCCCCTCAGCGACAGCTACAGCAGTGGGAGACGAAGGAGGAGGAGGAGCAAAGGGAGGAATGCACAACTGCCACCCCCATACTCGCCACCCCCTACTCGCCACCCCCCAAACCCTAACAGTGGCAGGGCGGGATGGCGGGTAGGGAGGTTACGGGGGAGGGGGGGGGGGGGGGGGGGGGACTGACGCGCGGCCTCCCAGGGCGGCAGAAGGGGCGGCGCTCGCCCCTTTCCCCCAGGTGCGGCCCCCGAGGGTCGCCTCGACAGGCGACGGGAAAAGGGGGGGGGGGGGGGGGGGGGGGGCGGTGCACGTGCCCCCTGGTGCGCCGCGGCTGTCGACGAGGCATGGCCGGGGCGGGGCCGGGGCCGCAAGTGGCGGCGACGGGGCCGCTGGCGGCGATGACGGGGCCGATGCGGGCGGGGAAGGGGTCGCTGCGGGCGGTGACGGGGCCGCTGCGCGCGGCGACGGGGCCGCTACGGGCGGCAACGGGCCGATGCGGGCGGCAACGGGGGCGCTGCGCGCGGCGACGGGGCCGCTGCGGGCGGCAACGGGCCGATGCGGGTTGCGACGGGGCCGACGCGCGGGTCCCTGTCGCCCGTCGCAGCGTCTCCCGAGGGCGACGCGCCGAGTGACGGGGCAGAAGCCCGCCGTGCGCCTCGGGGCGCACCGCGGGCAGAGAACCGCCGCGCGCCTCGGGGCGCACGGCGGGCAGAAAACCGCCGCGCGCCTCGGGGCGCACGGCGGGAAGAAAAACTGCCGCACGCCACGGGGCGTGCGGCACAGAGAGTAGCAGTAGCAGTTGCAGCGGAAGCAACGAGGTGGTGAGCCCACCCACAGGATCGATCCAAGGGGATCGACCTGCTCTGATAGCATGAGAAAATATGAACGAGAATGAAGAAGGGAGGATTTGACTAGCAGCAGTTGGGATACATATAGCAAACCCTAACAAGGTTGTACTCGCTATAGAGCACCCCACTACAGGCTAGATAAGAACATTCTGACAACTTCACCCAGTGTCTAACCATCCTGTGCTTCCGTTGCGCTTGTCCCGTTTGCAGAGTGCGCGAAGGACTGCGAGTCCTTCTGGAAGTTCGTGCGCATCAACAGGGCGCGGCACAACATCGACCTGGCCCGCATCATCAACGCGGACCAGACTCCACTATTCGTGGAGATGCCAGCCGAACGGACGATCGAGCACCGTGGCCCGTGCTCGGTCCCAATCCGCACTGCAGGCTACCAGAAGACGCGCTTGACGGTGATGCTCGCGTGCACTGCATCCGAGGAGAAGCTGCGGCCGTGGGTGTGGTTCAAGATGAAGAATGTCCCCAGCTGTGAGATTCCGGAAGGTAAGCGTAATGAATTCAACCGTGTGAGTGCCTGATGAGCGTGCCCCACTGTGCTGATGTCCGTCTGTCCCTTGTGTGCCTGGCAGGAATCGTGGTCCAAGCATAGGACAACGGGTGGATGGACGACAGCGCTGTGCAGACGTGGCTGTCCAAGGAGGTGCTGCCCCATCTGAAACCCCAGCGCGGCCAGAACGCGAGACGTGCGATGCTGGTGTTGGACTCTTACCGCGGCCACATCACCCAGACCATGCTTCAGTCGTATCGCACGCACAGCATCACCCCAACAGCCATCCCAGCGGGTTGTACGAGCCAGATTCAACCCCGGGACGTCTCCATCAACCGGTGCTTCAAGGCTGCCGTGCGAGCGCGCTACGCCAGGTGGTTCATGCGTGAAGGGATTAAACTAAAGACGAAGAAGGGTGAGTTGGTCTTTCATTGTAAATTCCTGTTCACTCTCCTGTCCTTGTCTTTAACATGCTCTTTCATGTCCGTGTCTCTAACATCTCGCTGCCCCGTCCTCTGTCCCACCTGCAGGGAACCTGCGGAGGCCTCCGCACCCCGTGGTGTTGCAGTGGATCGCGGAGGCTTGGGATCAAGTCCCCAAGCAGATCATCATTAACGCGTTCCGCCATTGTGGGATCTCAAGCAAGCTAGACGGAACGGAGAACCACCTGGTGATGTCTCACCTCCGCGCCAGGAGCACCACCGATGTCTCCGCTGACATGTCCCTCGAGGGACCACAGGCGACAACTCGCGCCTGCTCGGTCAGGCTCCAGAAGAGGAGAAGGAGGAGGAGGAGGAGGAGGAGGAGGAGGAGGAGGAGGAGGAGGAGGAGGAGGAGGAGGAGGAGGAGGAGGAGGAGGAGGAGGAGGAGGAGGAGGAGGAGGAGGCGATGCAGGCGGAGGGCGTGCGGGAGGTGGCCGTGGAAACCGGCCTGGAGGTGCTGTACCAGGAGACCCCCAACTACCGCGGAGTGGCGGCCGAGGCTGACCGCATGATCGAGCCTAGGGAGACGGCTAGGCATGCCTGGCGAGTGCCAGACCTGGGTGTAGAGCCTAATGTTAGTGCATGTGAGAAGGCGGTGACTGAGGGGGGTTAGGTAGAAGTAGAGATTCATGAATGTATGCATGTACCCACCTACAGTAAGGAAGGCTAGTCTAGAAGACACCCCCTGTTTATAACAAAACCCCTAAACCCCGGTTCTGATTATAAGACATATATGTCTTATCTTGTACACACGAATACGTGTCGTATAAAAAGGCTAGCTTGTTTATAAGAGACACCCGTATAATAGACAACCCCTGTCTACTATTCAACAATGTCTTATATCCGGGCGATGACGGTAATCGTTGGAAGAATTCCTCGCCCATTTTATTAATCGGTGTGTTCCCACTAAGACCTTAGCGTTTGCGCTGCAAATAAACATTTCAATGTCATTACAAGTATTCAGAGCAGAACATTTAGTCAAAACACTGTCTAGGTGGATATTGTCAAATGCTATAGCCTCTAGTGGGTCATGCTATATGGGGTACAAATAGTTAGGGTAAGGCATTTGTACCCCAACCCAATCAATCCAACTCATTCCGTTGTGTTTAGTTTTTGAGATGGTATCAGAGCAGTAGGTTCGCCGTTCCTAGGCCACACTTAGTCTCCGCCGTTCCTAGACTTCGGCCGTCACTAGCCTTGGCGTGAACCCCCCCCCCCCGCCCTCCCCCCCCCCCCCCCCCGTCTGCCCGAAGCACGCTAGACAGCAGGCCTAGCCAACTGTCAAACATATGCATATGTTATATTTGTGGGTAGGCTGTAGTGGGGTAGATAATGTGGGGTATAACCCCTTAGGCTTTCTTCTCCTTGTACCAATTCTCTCGATAGTCAACTCATTCATGCCTAAGTCTCTAAGATGGTATCTAGATCTTTAGGACCTAAGATTAGGGCCCACTGGTTACCGCGTTACCTCACCTACGGCCTTGCCTGCCTGCCTGCCTTGCCTGCTGCCCGCGCGCGCCTCGGCTGCACGCACGCGACCCCTTTTTTTTTTTCCCGCGCGCGCCGCTTAAGCAGCCCGTGTTAGAATCTAGCAGCATGAATGAATGCACTATGGAAGAGTAGGGTACAAGAATGAAACCCTGAACGGGGCTGTACCCCATATTGGCTACCCCACTACAGCCTACACATATATAGCATGCATATACATTGAGACACCCCCATAGGCAAAGTGGGGGAGAACAAGGGGTCACAAGACCAGTCAAGAGAAGCAAAGCAAGCTCAGGGTGGATCACAACGTCACCACACACACTTAGCACAAGCAAAGGGCCACAAGGCCAGTTCACATGTAGAGGTATATATGCAACAACAACAGCACAGTGATCTCTACCTAGCGGAGCAAGCATGCATGAATATATATAGATCACCGTACAAGAAAAGTCTACAGCAAGTGAGGATACGTGGGCACAAGGCCTAACAAAGCACAAGAACGCTGATGATCACCAGACGGAAGTGCCTTGGTGAATATATCAGCAGTGTTGGTCCGAGTGGCACGTGAGCAAGGCAAAGCTGACCATGCTGCTGCAACTCTTGAGCGAGGAAGTAACGCAGAGCGATGTGCTTCATCTGTGCTCCAGTCTGTGCTCCTGACACGAGGCAATGGCGGCCTTGTTGTCTACGTACAGCACTGGAGGAGAACGAGGCCGCTCTCCAAGGCCGGTCAGCAGGTAGGTGAGCCAGCGTAGCTCCTGTGTAGCCATGGCTGTGGCGTAGATCTCAGCCTCACAACTGGAGCCGAGAACAGAGGACGAGGGTGTAGACCGCCAAGAAACAGAGCCAGAGCCAAGGCTGAAGGTGTAACCCTGTGACGACCGCTGCGTAGCCAGGTCGTCAACCCAAGAAGCGTCCGAGTGCCAAGTGATGACAACTGGGCTCCATCCTCCAAGCACGAGCCCCATGCCCGATGTACTGCACAAGTAGCGCAATACCCTCTTAGCAGCATCTATGTGCACCTTTTGGTGCCGACCAGGAGCCACGTAGCGAGCCAGAAGGCCAAGAGGGTACGCAAGGTTAGGACGAGTGCAGGTCATCAGGTACATGAGGCAGCCTACTAGCTCTGGGTAAGGACCACTCGGCTCTACGGACTTGTTCAAAGGTGGAGCTGAGAGCGAGTGACCTGTAGCTAGAGGAGTGGCCTGTGCCGAGGTCCAGAGGAAGCCGAAGCGCTGAAGGACCTGCTGCACCATGTGTGACTGAGTCAGTGTGATGGTGCGGCGTGCTCTGTCCCGGGTGATCTGCAAGCCAAGGTAAGTGCGCAGCTCACCCATGTGTGTGCACGTGTGTCTCTTCTGCAGCTCCGACTTCACCAGGGCGAGAGCCTCAGTGTCAGCAGTGGCAAAGACCAAGTCGTCAACGTACACGAGGATGTAGAATGGCGGCACCGAAGTTTCGGTGCGCAGAAACAGCGACGGGTCAGCAGTCGACGGAGCAAAACCAAGAGCAGCAAGTGTCGTCCTCAGTGCGTCGTGCCACTCACGGGGCACCTGGCCGAGACCGTAGACAGGCCGCCGGAGGCTCCACTGGGTACAGGGAGGGAACGACCCAGTGAAGCCAGGAGGGCGGCGCAGCCAGATCTCCTCGTGCAACCTGCCCTATAAGAAAGCAGTGCTGAAGTCAAGAGAGTGAAGCTCGTAGTCATGCTGAGTGACAACGTGCAGCAGCACTCGAAGAGTGGTCATCTTCGGGGTGGGGGAGAAGGTCTGGAAGAAGTCAACTCCCTCTCGCTGACTGAAACCTCGAGCAACGTAACCAGCCTTGAAGATAGGCGGAGAACCTGGCGGCTGCTCTACCCTCAAAATCCACATGCCACTGACGATGTTCGCCCCAGGAAGGGGAACCTTGTCAACGTAAGTGACTGTGGACTTCCAGGATGCCATCTTTGTGTCCATGGTTGTCTACCACTGAGAGGAGTACTCACCCGCGATCGCCTCAGCGTAAGAGCGCGGGGTCGGGATGTCTGGAGCATCCGGGTCTCCCTCAGGGGCAAGCAGCATGGACACGAGATGAGGCGCAGCAGCTGCAAGACACTCAAGGTCCTCGTGCCTGTCCTCAAGGACGTCCGTGCCAAGAGCACACTCACCCCCGACGGACGGAGGACTGACAAGCTCAGACTCAGCAACAAGACTAGCGGCGTAGTCTAGACGATAGGAAGCAGCAAAGTCAACAAGCTCAACAACAAAGGCAGACGCAGAAGCAGACTCAAACGACGGGTCAGTGACAACTGTGGCTAGCAGACGCATGACAATAGGGTGAGCAGCACGATTGAAGTTGGACTCAGGCTCAGGAACGGTAGTCAGAGAAGACGCAGGAGGGGACGGCAGGGGAACACGCTGCGGAGGAGAGGGAGGACAACAGACTACGAGGTGGGTGTCGGGGACAGCTGGCTGACGCGAACGAGGAACACGATGACCGGCACGACCAGAACGGACAGGCGAGACAGGACGCGACGCAGGCTCACGACGCTCAGTAAGGCCCCCTATATGCCCAGTGTAAGGAGAAGGAGCAGGCTGCGGTGAGCCAGGCTGTAACGGAAGACCAGTAGATGAAGGAAGACTAAGAACCTGGCGAAGCACAGAGTCAGACTGTGGCTGAGACGACGGAGACGGCGGAGCAAAGAACAGGCGCGGCTGTGTAGTGCCACCACTACCAGCAGCTCCAGCACCGCCAACAGCTCCAGCACCTCTAGCAGCTCCAGAACCCCCAGCGCCAGCTCCTCCAGGACCAGCTCCACTAGCAGCAGCACCCGCACCTCCAGCCCTAGGGTCTCCAGCCTCAGTGTCTCGAGCAGCAGCATCCCCAGACCCAGGGTCTCTAGTAGTAGCACACTCAGGCTCAGCATCTCTAGTCCCAGCAGCTCCAGTACCTCCAATACGAGCACCTACGGGACCAGCACCACTCCCAGCTCCAGTGACGTCAGGAGAATTACCTCCAGCGGCAGAGCCCCGAGCTCTAGAAGCGCGACCCTGACGGCGACCGTACCAGTCGTGCAGCTGCTGTGAGGTGAGAGGCACACGCAGACGAAGGCGGCTACTCCAAGGAGACCGCGCAACAGAAGACTCAGAATCCTCAGCGCTAGCACCTGCAGCAGCACCAGAACCTCCAGCTCTAGCACCCTCAGCAGATCTAGAACCTCCAGCTCCAGTGCCACCAGCGCCAGCACCGTCAGCAGCTCCAGAACCTCCAAGAGAAACAACTCCAGTAGCAGAGTCACTAGCTTTAGCGCCTCCCGCAGCAGGGCCCCTAGCTCCAGCAGCGCGACCCTGACGGCCAACGTACCACTCACGCAGCTGCTGTGGGGAGAGAGGGAGTCGACGACGAGAGTGCAGCGGCGAGGCACCACTGGAGCGACTACGGAGACGGCTGCTCCACGGAGACCGCTCACCAGACGCCTCAGCGCCCCCAGACTCAGTACCCCTAGGCTTAGCACCCCCGGACTCCTCACGCCCAGGCTCAGCACCTCCAGTCTCCACACCCCAAGGCTCCACACCCCCAGGCTCTGCACCTCCAGGCTCCGCACCCCCAGGCTCAGCACCCCCAGGCCCCGCACCCCCAGGCTCAGCACCCCCAGAGGCAGCACCCCAAGCAGGACCACTTTCAACAGGACTTGAGTCACCCGTGACCTCAACCGGCGCAGTCAAGGGAGGCGGATCTACCTGAGACACATCTGAAGGAGCAGGATCGGGAGCGGGGAGGGGGTCTACCTGGGGAGCATCTGGAGTGAGGAAGAGCGGCAGGGGGGGGAGAGGGGCAGTGCGGTAGGGGAAGAGATGGTAAAAGGGAACCGACTCGTCGAACGTGACGTCCTGAGAGGGGAAGACATGTCGCGAGGTGGGGTGGTAAAACTGCCAACCAAGCGCGTTAGGGACAAAGCCAAGGAAGACACAGGGAACAGCGCGGGCGGAGAGCTTGTGTGCGGTGGTATCGCGGACAAAGGCACGAGCACCCCAGACCCGGAAACGCGACGCATCGCCAACCTTCCCCGTCCACAGTAGTGTGGGCGAGGTCTCCGGCAAGGAGACACGGGGCCAGAGGTTGAGGTGATGCGCGGCGTACCGG